ATATATCAAATATAAGATAGGATAATATTATTTAATCTAATTCTAATAATAATATCATCTTATCTTATCAAAATTTTGTATACAAAAAATATTTAAAATATTCAATATTATATTCATATTATATAAATACATATAAAATATAAAATATCATCATATTAAAATTGTGTTGATATCTTTACACTTGTTAAAGGATTGGGTTATCCGTCCAGATTTGAAGACCAATTCAAGTTTTGGAAAGATTTGAACAAAAATTAAAATTTGTTAAATAAGTTTGGACATAATTTTTAAATTTATTTAAATTTCGGATTGGATCTTAGACAAAATAATTAAATGTAAGTATATATATGTGAATTTTTATTTTGATATTTTATTTTTTTTAAAAAATTATTTTTTTAATTTTTATTATATAAATTAAATTTAATAGATGAATTTGATATTTATTTTTTAATATGGATTGGATTTGAAAAAAAATTTGAGATCCAAAATCTTAGGTGAGTTCAGTTGGGGTAAGCATATTAGCTTTTAATGCAAAGCATGAACCTGACCTAGTTCCATGAATATATCTAACCACACACAAAATATATTTTTTAATTTTTATCAATACATATATAATTTTTACAATCATTTTAAATTGTATTATTTTTATATATTTTTATAATATTTTATATCGTATTAATATATTATATTTTAAATTAATAATTCTAGTTTTAACTTTAAAACCCCGCTCCTCAAGCCATCCATAAAAATAAAAAATCATACATATGTTTATAGTTTCCAAAATGTCCCTTAACTTTTCCCCCCTTTGGTGTATATTCAAACAATAAACAAAATTTTTTTGCCCTTTATCCTTGGAATTGGATCAAATTGGACAAATACCATCAAAAGTCTAGTGCAACTTCCTACTTTCATGAATGGATATACCTTACCCTTAGCAAATGAGAAACCAAAGAGTCCAGGACTTTTAGCTCATAGCTTTCAATTGAAAGATACCTAAAAGTGAGATTAGTTTATTAATTAGTATTTTTTTTTACATAGCAATCATGTGGTCATAAATGGTAAACATGATGATGTTTGCCAAATTGTTTCAAGTTTAATATCATGAATTCTTTGGTTTGTAACAAATTGGAAAAGAAATGGTCACTAGAAATTTATATTTGATTGTGGTGTACTATCAAAGGGTTCAATAGGGATTCTTATATCTAAATCTTTATTTAATCTCTCTTATATTTTATATCATTAATTTGTTTACAGAAAAGTATAAGGAATGATTATTGGTGCAAAGGAGTGGATAAAGATCAAATCATGGTGTAATCTTACTCATAATCCAAGCATAGTTGAAAACTTAGTTTGCCTTTCAACTAAAGGCGGATACAAATATAGAATTGAGGTGTCCATGAACACTAAAGTTGGTAGCCTAGCTCGTTACCGACAGATTTCGATTCGATATGATTTTATATGATTATTTTTTTTTTAATTAAATTTTGGGTCAAATTGAGTATTATTAAAGAAAAATCGAATTCGAGTTTTAAGTAAATTCAATCTGATATGATATTATATATAAAATTATTTTTTTAATTATTTTTTAATTTTTAATATATATTTATATTTAAAAAATAATATTTTATTAATTTAAGATCGGATCGGATACAGTTTATATAATATCAGATCGAATCAAGTTCGGGTATAAAAAATAAAAAAAATTTCGAATCGAATTCAGGTTTTATGATTATAAAATCGGTTCAAGTTCGAGGTAAATTTTTGCTCGTCCCAACCCGACCCGTTATCAACTCTAATGAACACTTTCAAAAATTAAAAACTAAAAAAAAATTTCTTGAACACCTTCAAAAAATTTCTTTAAATACTCAAAAAATTTTTTTTTTAACATTTTCTTTCATAATTCACAGTCTACAGCTAGCAAACACCCAAATCCAACAAATAGACACTGCAACAAGTGGGCAAAAAAAATCATTGATTCACCATTGCTTTCAATTTTTTCTCTTTCCTTATCTTTTTAATGTACACTATATATATATATATATATATATATATGATTGATAACTTCAATTTTTATTTCTATTTTGCATGGACATCAAAATCGTCAATTTTGAAAAATTTATCTATAGACATATAATGTTTTAATCTCAGAATATGACATCTCACCAAAAAATCTTCGTCTTTATGTAAAGCAAATATGAATTTGATCCAATCCTCTTCTAAATCAGTGGAAGGAACCTAAGTCGTTTTTTTTTTTCCTGTGAAGAATGTAACCTTTAACGAGTCACCATCTTATAAAGTACTACTAAGAAATGAATTATGATTCCTCAACCAAGCTTTTTTTATAAGAGTAATCAGTTTTGCTTGTATGAAAACAGGTGCATTTGATCCTTGAGACCATAGTATATAATTTGTTCAACCACTAATTTTCTCTATAAATGAAAAAACTATCAACCCCAAACCCATGTTTTGGACCAATTTTGTGTTCTTAATTTCACAAACAAATCCTAGTTCTTAACGTGGTGCATTTAGGTCAACGTCATAGCCGTTGAGGCCATGGGCTTTAACCACCGAAAAACCCCAGAAGAAATATATCCTTTCCTACTCTATGCGGGTGGGTTCGAACTTGAAAGCTATATACAGTTCGGCAATGGCTGCTTGAGCCCCTGAGCGAGCAAGAGTGTCCCTTTGGAACGAAGAGGGTGCAACACCCATCGCTTTACGTCTTGGACCACTTCACCAAATGTGTCTTTCAATCTTAATTGACAGAGACGTGAGCAGAGGTGGAAATGAGAGAAAACAAAAAATTAAGGTCTAATCTAATCTAATGCCTTTCGTTATCATAGCCAGATGGTTTCCTTGATCATCATGACTTAATCTACCCATGCCATTTCTAAAACGATGCCTAGCTTCTCTGCTATTATATGATTAGAACTTTGGTTGGTAGCTATCCTTTCAGCACTATGGCATATGGTAAAGGATTAGAAAGATAGGGGAGTCTCGTTGTCTTTTCTATGTAGTATAGGTTGGCTATTTGTCGCTTATTCCTTTCTATCAAAGAACATTAGCCGACTTGATCAAACATTGTGATGGGATTTATAATCTTTGTGATGAAAAAATCGTCATTAAATTTGTGAAGGAATTAGATAAAATTGTAATGGTATTCTGAATTAGAGGTATCTACTATAAAATTTCCGTCACGAATTTTTATTTATGATGTAAATAGGTCTTTGTGTCACAGATTCTTCCTTCACAGCCAAAGCATTTCCGGTAGTGCATTGCATTTCTCCGATTATCTTGTCTCTACATTTACGGTCCTTCCTATATACGTTGAGCTGCTAAGGTTCATTGAGGACGCAAATTGGGGAATAAGCTTAGAGCTGTTGCTAACCACATATTTTTCCTCATGAACATATCCATTCCCCTTATCTCTATTCCACAATGATTGTGTGTCCCCAACTCTAGCATCATATATATGAGCATAAAATTTGACTTCATCTTTGGAAGACAAGAAAACTATTCAGAAGGCTACAAGAGAACTGATATTGTGAATTATGGGACAATGACTGAGGACTGGTTTGGTGTGGTATGAGTATGATGATGAATATTCTTGTAAATTATTGTGCTAATTAATTATAAAGTTTAGTGCGAAATAAATTTGAATGGTAATCATTGGAGACTATACTAATACGTTTATTCATTTTTAAAATATTTTTATATTTAAAGTTATCAAAATTTGAATTTCAATCACTAAAACTTTGAAATAAAATGATTTTTACAAGTAGCAATTCATCTATTAGACGTATATGTTTGTCATATATATATATATATATATATATATATGAATGCATATATAAGTTGTGGGTTTTTTGGGTTGGTTCATGCTCCATAATTGATGGATCAAGTGGCCCTTATTTTATTAGAGTTAGTGGGCTAGTGGTTTTGAGTGGGGCTCATTGTTGGTTCAAAACTTTTCCTTTGTCTGTTTTCTAAGCCCGAATCAGGCATAGCTTTCACAACTAGCTAGGCTGGTGTTCAAATATATAATTTCACTTTTTTTTTTTTTTTATTAAACGTCCAAGTACCCAACACAACACTTATCATATTGATCCATTATATGTTTGATTTGCATGAATTGTTGACAAAAATACTTATCCAAAACCAAACGTTTCTTAACTTCAAAAATTTTTAGAATCTAGATTTAATCTAATTAATTTATATAATTATCATTAAAAATAATATTCAATAAATTTGATATTAAAATTTGATTAATATTTACAATTTTTTTATACCTCTAAAGTACGACTTCATTTAAAAAAATTTTACATCAATTATTATTTATTGCATTTAATTAGTTTGGTTTCCAAGAAGTTACTTCCTCCAGAGAAAAGAGAAAAGGCAGGAGAACAATAGCAAAGTAAACTTCTGAGACCATTAAAGAGTCAAATGTCAAAGGATGAACTTTCATGTTTTGGGGAATTTATATGGGACTTCCAAACTATTATATATATAAAGCCTTTTATAAAGCATCTAAATTGTTAATTTGACTTAATTAAATTTAATATTGATAAGTTGAACCCACATTAACATTTATCTCCTAAAACTTAAAAATGGTATATTGCAATATGCATATTCAGTTATATTAAACTCCTTGAAAAACTTTATAAATAGTCTCACACATTGGATGGGATTAGCAACATATATAAGATACCCAAACATTCAAGATTGAAAAGAAGCCCAATATATTCACCTACTAATTCACCAGGAATGCTAAATTCAAAGCTTAAAGAAACTGGGCGCCCAACGAGCAGATGGAGAGCAAATGAGAGGCAAGTTTTCAACAATACTTTGTTGTGAGTAAAAGGAGTGGCTCTTTTTTCTGGTCACTGTCTCTTAGCTAGTGGGAAAAGAAAACTCTTGAATGGCCATGTACTCTACAATTTTGATTGGAAAAGAGAAGAGAAAACGACAATGTTGAAATAGGGAGCTGATGCATCAGATATGCATGATTGTAACAGAAGTTTTATTTATTCAGTGATGACCGACAGTCATCGCATTGATCCATTAATTTTTCACATTTTTTCAGTAACGGAAGTTCTTTTTTTTTTTTTTCTTTCCAAATGTTTAAGCATTAATAAAAGGGTATATTTCATATCTGACGTTACAGCTGCCACCAACAACTCTACCTCCTTCTTTCCCGTCACAGCAGCTTGGAAGCTCACCAATTATACCGTCAAGACACTTCTTACAGTCACTGCTGGAAATGTCCCTTGTGCACTGAGTCAATCCATAAAGTTTCTGTGATCCATACAGCTCCATCTCCCCAGTGGCATACAGTTTGGGAGTTGCATAAGCATCATTGGCCAATTGACTTAGCAGTTGCTTAGTCTTCTGATTGAATGAAACGGGATCGCTCACAGAATTCGAATTCAACATGTAGAACTTGTTCTGGTTATCAATCTGGCCGAAGAATTCTGTGTTTGAATACTTCAAAAGACAGTTATCGTACCAGATAATTGCACCTCTGTTGTAAGGGCAGCGTTTGCGGATTTCACTGCCTGCTTCAACAACACAGGTTTTGCAATCTGGGGTTGACACATCGCCTCTACAAAGGGCAAGCCCAAATGCTTGGTTCGGCTCCTGCCCTAGAATGCCGAGGCCAAAACCTGGGAGAGGAGCTTGAATAGAGAGGTAACCGGTAAGTTTGTTTAAGTTTCCTTCATAAGTGTCATAGGCAGTGAAATTCCCTGCAGAGTTTGAACAAAAATGGAAGAGAGGGTCAACTCCAAAAGCTGTTTGGAGAAGGAAAGCAAAGGTTAACAGATGAAGAAGGGAGGCAAATCTTGAAGAAGACATTGTTGAAACTAATGATGATATAATGCAATTAGCTTGTTTGTTTCAGCTTAGGACCATGAAACTGTTATTTATAGGGAAAATTTCAGGTTTGACCATGGAGATTATAGGTTTAAGAGGCTGACCTTTTCAGTTTTTTCTGCTCTATTTTCTTCACTGTGCAAGCAAGGTGACAAGAAATTTTCAAATGTGGGCTGCGGCGCTCAGATAATTCTTTAATGTGCAAGCTGAAAACGCACTTATTCATCAACTATAATGCAGGAATAGTTATGGAAATTACCGATAGAACAAATCAAACACAATAGCCTGACTCCATGCAAATAAATAAATAAATAAATATATATATATATTTTCTATCCAAATCCATTTGGTAAATATGCATGTTGCATGGATAAATTCGTGTATTTGTGTTTGGTTATTTTATATTTAATATGTATAAAATAAAAAAAATTATATCATAATTTATATAGATATGCTAAATACAAATATATATATTTTATAAAATTTATATATAATTTTTATTAAAATTTTAAATTATGTTATTTTCATATTCTTTTCATATATATTTTTATCATGTATCATGTTTAAAATTATTAAGTACAAATAAGTGTTTAATTTCATAGACAAAACCTACTAAAATCCTTTTAACATGGGATTTTTTTGGCAAAAATTGTAAATATATATAGGAATAGAAATGGAGTGGATATTTGCTATTTTTTAGATATCTATATCTGAATCTATTTAATATTTATAATATCTGAATTTGTTTAAATATTTATTTAAGTTTAATATTATTATCTAAATTTGAATCTGTTTAATAAACAATATTAATTTAAATATTTGAATCTGTTAAAATAGTTGTTTATTTAAATTTTTTTATTAAAATATAAAACAAGCAAGAATTTAATTTAAAATTCAAGTTCAGTCTTAATTAATAATAAATAAAAGTTATTTTTTAATATTTGAAACTTTCTACAAATATAAAAATTTTATATATTTTACATATGTAAATAAATAATGGATTCAGATATCATATTCATTACTATTCAATAAAATTTAAACAAAGTTAAATATTAGATATTCAAAGACACTATCCATATCATTCCAAATCCGTCACGAATATTAAATATTTTATTCGAATTCGTTAATTATTTATTTATAACTATTCAAATTCAATATAAATGAATCGGATAATAATTGATATCCGTTTATTTACTATCCATTTTCATCCCTAAATATGTACTATTAAATTAACTAAAATTTTTGTTTGAAAATTGAAAAGAACCAGGAAGTTTACAAGTTCGATGCCTGATGAGATTGTTCAAACACTTAAAAAAAACCTATGGAAAAAGACACTGTAGATTGTGTCAAATATAGCACCACCAGATAGAATGGTTTTCAGCTTTGTTATAACCTGTGAACTGTATCTATATGATCATTGACTAATATATCTCTTTATTAGGAAAGCTGATAGCGAACCAGTTCCTTGGCCTTTTCTAAGTTCTAGAAGTTCATTTCACACTTTTTTCTTTTGTATATTAATAATTATAGAAGGAATTTTTTTATACGAAAGATGGCTAGGACTAGGGGTATTGGAGAAGGTACTTTCTTGTTCTTGTTTTATTACATAAAATAGATTTTAGGTGGCTATGATCACTGCAGCACGAAAAATCAAATGTTTGACCAATAAATAAGTACACCGTATGTAAGAGTTGACCAAGTAGCAATCTCACCATGTCTGTCTTATCAATGTTTTTAAGGATTAGTTTGGCATTGATGTTACAGTTGGAAAAGGTTTAAGTTTGAAAAAAATAATATTGTTTAAAAAGTATGTGATAAAAATGCGTAATTAAAAATTTTAAGTGATTGGTAATTATTTTTTTGCTAAATCAGGTTGGAATTCATTAAGCCAAACAGGTTGCAATCTGGTCAATAATTTAAGTGATTGGTAATGTCATAGCTGTTGAGGCCATTAACCACCGAAAAACCCCAGGAAGAAATATTTCCTTTCCTACTCTATGCGGGTGGGTTCGAACTTCAAAGCTACATACAGTTTGGCAATGGCTGCTTGACGAGCCCCAAAGCAAGCGAGAGTGTCCCTTTCGAATGCAACACCTTTCCCTTTTACGTCTTGGACGACTTCACCAAGTGTACCTTTCAATCTTAATTGACAGAGACGTGAGCTGATGAGAAAATGAGAGAAAACAAAAAATTTAAAGGTCTAATATCATCTAATGCCTTTCCTTATCATAGCCAGATGGTTTCCTTGATCTTCTCTTAATCTAACCATGCCATTTCTAGAACAATGCCTAGCTTTTCTTCTATCATATGATTATAACTTTGGCTAATAGATACCCTTTCAGCACCCTGGCACATGGTAAAGGATTAGAAAGATAGGGGAGTTTCGTTGTCTTTTCTACGTAGTTGAGGTTGGCTATTTGTTGCTTCTTCTTTTCCGTCAAAAAACATTATCCGACTTGATCAAACATTAATTGTGATGGAACTTATAATCTTTATGATGAAAAAAATCGCCATTAAATTTGTGATAGAATTGAACAAATTTGCAGTGGTATTCTGAATTAAAGGTATGTATTATATAAAATTTCCGTCACTAATTTTTATCTATGACGTGAATAGGTTTTTTTGTGATAGATTCTTAGGTTACAGCCAAAGCATTTCCGGTAGTGCATTGCATTCCTTCAATTGCCTTATCTCTCCATTTATGGCCCTTCCTATATACACCGAGCAGTTAAGGTTTTTTGAGGATGCAAATTGGGGGATAAGCTTAGAGCTGTTGCTAACTAGATATATTTCCTCATGAACATATCCATTCCCCTTATCTCTATTCCACAATGATTGTGATTCCCCATCTCTAATTTCATAGATATGAGCATACAATTTGACTTTTTCTTTGAAAGACAAGAAAACTATTCAGAAGGCTACGAGAGGGCTGATATTGTGAATTATGAGACAATGACTAAGGACTGATTTGGTGTGGTATGAATTTGGCCATGAATATTCTTGTAAATTATTGTGCTAATTAATCATAAAGTTTAGTTTGAAATAAAGTTGGATAGTAATTGTTAGAGACGATATTAATATATTAACTCATTTTTTGAAATTTTTTTATATTTAAAATTATCAAAATTTAAATCATAATTACTGAAATTAAAAATTTAATATTTTATTAACAGACTATGCAATCCATCCCCTCTACTATGCTCGAATACAAAAAGATTTTTATAAGTATCAATTCGTCTATTAAATGTATATGTTTGTCGTATACACGAAATCATATAGATGTTGTGGTATTTTTGGACCTGGTTGGTGCGCCCGAATTGATGGATCAAGTGGCCTAGATGTTAATAGAGTTAATGGGGTAGTGCTTTTGAGTAGGCCTCATTGTTGGGTTTAGAACTTTTCGTTTGTCGGGCTTACGGGCATAGTTTTCACAACTAACTCGGCTTGTGTTCTAATAATAATTTTATTTATTTTTTAATCAAACGTCTAAGTACCCATCACAACAGTTATCGTATTGATCAATTACTTATTTGATTGCATGAATTATTGATAAAAATCCTTTTATCTAAAACCACATATTTCTTAACTTAAAAACTTTTTAGATTCCGAATCTAATCTAATTAATTTATATAATTATTATTAAAAATAATATTCAATAAATTTGAGATTAAAATTTTATTAATATTTATAATTTTTTTATACTTCTAAAGTACGACTTCGTTTAAAATTTTTTTACATAGATTATTATTTATTGCATTTAATTAATTCGGTTCTCAAGGAGTTATTTCCTCCACATAAAAGAGTAAAGCTAGGAGAATAATAACAAAGTCAACTTCTGAGACCATTAAAGAGTTAAACATCAAAGGATGGACTTTCATTCTAGGAAATTTCATATAGGACTTCCAAACTACTATATACCTATATATATATATGTGTGTGTGTGTGTGTATATATATATATATATAGCATCTAAATTGTTAATTTGACTTAATTATTGATAAGTTAAACCCAAATTAACATTTATCTCCTAAAACTTAAAAATGGTATATTACAATATACATATTGAATTGTATTAAACTCCTTGAAAAACTTTATAAATATTCTCACATTGGATGGGATTTGAAACATATATAAGCTACCCAAACATTCAAGATTGAAAACAAGCACAATATATTCACTTACTAATTCACTAGGACAATTAACAAAATGTTAAATTCAAAGTTTAATGCAAAAATGTTTGTTGCTAGAAGAGGAACTGTCTTTATTACATTGTAAACCATCCGTTATTTTAGCATGCATGCAACAATATTCTCCATCAATTAAGGCAAGAAGATGTTAAGTATTGGCTCAAATTCTAATTGAGAATTAGTTTGAATTCCAATATTTGGTAATTAAGTTTATTTAAAGATAAATATTTTTAATGGATAAGAGTTTTTAGTAAATAGAAATTATTAGTTATCAACAATGGAGTTCGGAGTTTTATAAATATAGAGTAAATATTAACTTTTAGAATTATGATAGAGAGTTATGAGATCTCTATATAGGATATAAGTTTGTAGAGATGTGAAAAAAATTTATTCAGAAAAACACTGATTGTATGGAGTGAATGATATTTTATAAGTTATACACTAAGGAGTATGGAAACTGGGATTGTTTTAGGAGCTCGAGATTAGTATTTGTTTATGGTATTTTGTACTCTTTCTAATTACTTTTATAATGGATTTTCTCTCTCATTCATGGATGCAATTGAGTCAAGCTACATTAAATATTACTTTTGTATGTAATTTATTTCATGTTGATCTTGTTGTGAAATTTGTTCTGCTTAAAAATTTCAACAAGTAGTATCAGAGCCAGGTTGCCAACATCTTCATTGTGAGCCAAGTATAGAAGCTCTTCCCTATAGCCCGATGTTTGAAATGGAGAGATTATTAAGATTATCTCACATTGATTGTGAAAGGGAATTTTTTGTTGCAAATTGTGTTTGTGAGATTATAAATATGCAAGAGAAAAATATTATAACAAGATGTTAGTTATAGGTAGAGTCAATCGGGTGAAGTTGATTTGGCTGTATATAAGTATTAACCACTTATGTGAATCAAGTGG